GTATACATACATACATACATACAGTTGAAGTCAAAACTATTAGCCCCCCTGTTTATTTTTTCCCTAATTTAAATTAATTTCAATGACCCAAAAGAATTAAGGGTGTGTTCGAATCCACTTTTTTTATTTTAAGGACGGAAAAATATGGTTTGCGTCTCAGCTTATGATCTAACAGGGTTGTGCTTATTCCCTTTATGACTTATGGGTGTGTTTCGAGCATGCATTAAACCGATCAGAGTCTCATCTACCATTTCTTTTAAAAGTCAGTTGCATTGTGCCATGGTGTATTTGCTACTTACATGGCGGACTTTGTAAGTGGAAAAACTGAAAATACTGAACATTTCACTGGCGAGAAAACAGCTAAACAGACCATCTGTATTGCGAGAATAAAGATCGAGCCTCCTCCATTAGGCCTCTTTACTTTCTCTTTCTCTTCACTTTTACTCTACTTTTGTGGTTAGGGAAACTGTGTTGTACACATGCCACTAAAGACAGTAGCCCACATATTTACAGTAGTTTTGTTTGTTTAGCGCAAAGAATTGTTTCAAAACTATTTCTAAATTCAATTTATTTCCAGCAAATGAATAAATGAGCAATAATAACAAGTGTGATGAGTTATATCCAAACACACGTCCTATGCCCAATATGCTCCAAAATAGAGATCTTCACGAGACAAAATTTTGAATCCCGCTCCCGCCTGCACCCGCCAGGTTTTAGCCTGAACCCAACTGCTCCTCCTTACCTTCAGCATTTGTTGTCCCGCTGCCCAACCCGCCCCGTTTTCTACCCGCTGCGCTCGATCCCGCTAAAGAGCGGGGGGAGAACAAAACCGAAAACCACCCAGCTATACAGAGTCCAGACAGCCTATAGCAAGCTGTCTGAATAAACACACACACACAGACAAATCTCTCTCTCTCTCTCTCTCTCTCTCTCTCTCTCTCTCTCTCTCTCTCTCTCTCTCTCTCTCTCTCTCTCTCATTCGCGCACGCACACTAACACACACACACATAAGCACCAAGCACACACACAGGCAAAGCTCTCTCTCTCTCATTCGCGCGCACACACAAACACCTCTCATTCGCATATGCGCACATACACATAGCAACAAACAAGCTAAACACAGCAACGCGCTATTTCATTTACACACATACATACATGTGCTCGCTCGGGAGTCGGGATCGATATTGCTAGACATCCCGCTCCCGTCCCAAATTAAACCCGTTACCGACCACTCCCGCGCTTATTTCTGAAATTTATTCCCGTGCCGTAGAAATCTGGTCGGGCCCCGGGAATGCAGACCTCTACTCCAAAACTCGACAGGTGGACAAATCTAAACTTGTTTTTAATAAAACAAATATAAATATGCGTATAATAATAATAATAATAATAATAATAATAATAATAATAATAATAATAATAATAATGTTAAACGTTTCTGTTGTTAATCTTAATTTATTTTATTTTGGATATTTGCACCCCCTCTAGGCCAGAGGAAGTTTAAAAGGCCTGGGTGTGGCCTACTGGAGAAGGGCCTGCTGGGAGCACATGGTCTTTAGACCTTACCTTCAGTGTCTGATGGCCAAAAAAGTTTGATTTTGTTACTTTCATATCAGTTTTTAGTTCAACTATCTCTGCAATAAACAGCCACAAATGAAGACTTATTGTTCCATGTATTATTTGCTAAGGAAGCGTCTAAACCCCTCAGCAGACCCAAGATGTGACTAATTTGAAATTTTGATCAAGGATAGTCACAACAACAATAATAATAATAATAACAACATTATACAAAAGCAAGTTGTTGCGAATAAACTGAAAAAAGCACTCTGAGATAAAGAAGGCTTGGAGGCAGTGGTTTTAATATTTATGTGGGAAATAATATTTGTTTGTAATATTTTAAGCCTTTAATTCTTTTTCATTTGTAAAGATATTTGTGTATTGCAGTACATCCTGTGTGTATTAAGCAATGTGTACGCATATAAAGCGTTCAACTAATAAGCTCTGCACTGGACTTTAGACCTGCTTTCAGCTGGTCAAGGGGTTGTGTTGGTCTGAAAATAGCAACACATCGCACCAAAGATGTCTTGCGTCTCTTTTCTCCAGGTGTTTGATAGGGCCCCTTACAATTAACATTTAATTTACCCATTTTTAATCCAGACCAACTCCAAGTCTGGCATGTAGTTTATCTTAGCATAAGTCATTCTGATTAGACCATTAGCATCTCGCTCCCAAAACACCCATAGAGTATTGATAATTTTCCTAAAACTTGACTCCTCTGTAGATACAGTATGTACAAAAAGGAATGAAAAATGAGAAGTTGCAAGTTTCTGGGCTGATGCGGCTAGGTGTTACTGTGGAAAAAAATTATCTTCAGTTTATTAACTGTGCAAGCAGAAATATCATTTCACCCGCTACAGCCATGCTACTGCAGCAATGTTAGACAATTATTACGCAGGAATGAGATTATAGTTTTTAACTATAGGTTTTAAAGATCCTGTGTATACGTTTTTTACTGTTCTAAAGCATAAAAATACCATCTGTTTGTAGACTTTTTAGAAACATGCTAAGTGAACATACTTGTTTATCTGAAAAACAGTGCTAAAGTCAGATATTCTGCTTTGAAAATGTGTTCTGTGTCGAAATGTCTGTCTTTGTTTTGGTCTGCTACAGCCAGTTCACTCAATTCTCTTTTGGCGCTTAATTTGAGTCATGAAGGCTAAGTAATAAAAATCCACATGAGGTCTTTTTTAATTAGCAAATAATATGAACATTACATACGTAAACATTAGCTAGGCAGGAGTGGTATCAATAAACATAAATAAACAAGTATATGTGTGTTTGTGTGTTTACTGCAAACAGCATTTGTGTGACACTCATCGTTTCAGAAAGGCTTGAATAAACTCCACCTCAAATACATGAAATAAACTTAATTGGTCTTTTTGACTAACAAGCTGTATTGCAGCCAAGGTTATAATAGTTTTGGATTTTTCATTAGTTTCAGTTTCTATTTCATTTTGACTTTGTTTTTAAATTCAGTTTGTTTTAATTAATATTAAATGCAGATTTACTAGTTTTTATTAGTTTCTTTTGAGGTTGCTTCTGAGGTTAAACACACAGTAGTGATGGGAAGTTCCGATTTTTAACACGGATGTTTGGACTCAACATGTAGTTAGCATTCTCAGCAATAGTAATTTCAGTCAGTTAAAACATCACCGTGATCTGAAAAATGTCTGGTAAAGTTTTACAACCCAACTGAATCATGATTCACTTGTTCATTCATTCATTTTCTTGTCAGCTTAGTCCCTTTATTAATTCGGGGTGGAATGAACCTGCAACTTGTCCAGCAAGTTTTTACACAGCGGATGCTCTTTCAGCCGCAACCCATTTCTGGGAAAATGATTCATCTAATTAAATTCCATTTCAATTGTCTGTTATGAAATAAACTTATGTTTTTCACCAGATCCTCTCATTTAAGCCCTCGGTTTACCCGCACTGCAGTTGTTCAAGTTTAGTTCAGTCACACAGCAGGCTGTACTGTTTGTGTTGGGTTTACTGAATCATGCATGCACAGTATTTTTGGTTTAGCGCTTCTCAATGTAACGTTAAAATTCTAATAACTGAATGAGAGTATATATTGGATTATTTAGAGTCAGAGGGGGGTATTAGGCTTGTTAAAAAGTAAATAGTTTGTGGATAAGTGCTTACTAGAGACGCAAATCGTTTTAAATGATTCAGTTCGATTTGGTGAACTAGTTCAACCGGTTCACTTAGAAGATCCGGTTAAAAAGATTTGTTCGCGATCGCGATACAGAAATAAACCCTATTACTGGCCACAAAGGTGGTAAAGTAATAGTTTAAAGTGTCTGTATTTAATGCTATAACCTTGCTGTTGTCATGTCCACTTGCTGTTTTTGTCGCGGGAGCAACAGTGAGAATGATTGGAGGAGAACCGGCTCGATCTAGCTAATGGCAGCAGGACTCTGAGGTGCCGTACGGGTCAAACACCTGCAGCGCGAATTATATTTACTTCTAAAAGGTACAGTAAGATTATGTATTAGATACAATCACAAATACAAAAACGAAGGAGGTTTTTGCTATAATTTCAGTTAGTTTTAGTAAGTTTTGCATGTACACAATACAGTTTCAGTTAGTTCTGTTTTTTTAAAAAAAACTCTCGATTTTATTTTATTTCAGTTGACGACAATTATTTTACATTTTAGTTTTGTTTTTTTTGTTCGTTTTTGTTAACTATAATAAGCTTGATTGCAGCTTCATCCAAGTCTTACTGTAACAGTAACAGCTGTTTATCTGATGTAATGCATGAGAAGCAAAAACCCACATGGGAACGGTGGGCGGGGAGAAACAGGTCATTTAAATTTAAAGCCACAGGCTACAAAAACAACTACCATGTATTCAGACACCAGAATAGGTAGATTCTGGAGCCTACAATAAATTATCTGATTGGTTTTTTAAACTGACAATTTACAGACACATTGAGGAGACAGAGACAGACACCAAAGGCTTATCTTACATATTTTAAAGGGGTAACACAGGTGCTCTTTAACTAAAAGTTAAGAGTATTCCTTTAAGTGAATTTATGGTGTGATCCACTCTCATCCAACCGTTAACTACTTAAACAGTCTTTTAGCAACCATCATTTACTGCCGTATGTATTTGTATTCACATAGCTGGAATGTTCAAGTAAGAATGTGAAAAGTCATGGACCGTTTATACTGTGTAACTTAACACTCCTAAGTGGTTTGCTTTGAGATGCAAAAATCCTAAAAATGTGATGCTAAAATATTTGTTTACAATATGCTAAAAGAGATTTGAGGCATTCACAAAGTATTGTGAAACAAAAGCTATTGCTTTTACTGCATTTATAATTTGTTATTTAGATGAAGCTAGATAGAGTAAACTAGCAAACAGAAAGACCTTGAACTGCAAATTTAAACTAAAAGTACCACAGCAATATGGACATTTCTAAAATGATCCACACTTACCCTATAGTAGTCGGTGCTGTACACATCTCTGGACATGCCAAAGTCTCCTATCTTTACAAGCAGGTTTTCCCCCACCAGGCAGTTGCGTGTGGCCAGGTCTCTGTGCACAAAATGCTGTGAAGCCAGATACACCATTCCTGCTGCTATCTGCTGAGCAATGTGCAGCATCTGAGGCTGAGTCAACTCCACCAGCAAACTCTGCTGTCCGTCTGCCATTAGCACCGCATCTGGACCATGAGCCCTATGGGGAAAAAAGCATATGCATTTATGGTGTGGTCAGTGTGAGGCAACAATGACAGACCTAAAATTTGGTGTCATTAACTATCGAGGAGATACAGCCTCAGATATAGTTTGGCATCTGTTGCACATTTAGCACAATTGTCAGGTGAAGTAAACAAAAACTGTTACACCTATCAACACAAATTCAATACATTTTTGTCAGCATGGTCTGAAGATGATCTGAGTCAAATTTGGTGCAAATCAGGCAAACGATGTAGGAGTTTAAAAAAGTAAGTTTTTTACTTAAAGCAATATGGCGGATAGAAAGTTCAGTTAGTTAAAGCATAATTGGTACCGATATTCTAAGGACAAACCAAAAAAAAATAACAAGATAAGTATCATAAGAAACTTTTTGAGCACCTTTGGGGCACAGTCTTAAAGACACATGCCTACTTTCATAACAATTTACCAATGCGTCCCTAAAATATAGCAATTTTTGGACTAATTCAAAATGGCCAACAGCCAAAATGACTGACCATGGGAAATCAGACATCATTCGACTAAAACGATGCAACTAAGTTTGGACCATGGTTGTGATAACACACCAAGTTTGATGTGAATGCATCAATACGTTATGAAAATAACACCTTAATTAAATTTTCGCAAGCTCTATGTACATTTTTTTTAACCTGAGTTTAATAAATTTTGGTCAGCATGTTCTGTAGATCTTGTAATTCATTTTGGTGAAAATCGGAAAAACGGCCTGGGACGACTTTGTTCAAACAGGTTTTACAAAAAATTCACAATAGTGAACACCTTTTTATGACTGAAAACAACACCATAGGGTGTGTTTGAGTTGGCCTGAGCCAAGGGATCAGAGGAAAAAAACTATTTTGATTATAGCCAATTGGGTTCAAAAGTTGTAAGGGTAAACATAAGTGAAACTTTGGACATGTAGTGGCGCTAGAGACTTAGAGTAAGAGAGTCCAAATTTGTCTTAAAGATCAGACTGTCCTCTATCAGTGTGCCAAAGTTTACGCAAATGCCACAAACGGTTCATAGGGTTGCCATACACTCCCAGAGCGAAAGAAGAAGAAGAGGAAGAAACCGAAAGAAAAATAATAAGAACCAGATAGGATACAACAGAGGAGGGCTAATTAATAATCATGACCCTTACAAATATGGTCAAAACCAACCATTTAATATAAGGGCTAATTTATAAGGTTTTTCTGGAGAATTTCTGCAATTACCTAAACCATACACCTTATTAAACATCAGAGAGCAATTCAACATATTCTATCAATGCATTCTGTGAAACATTTAAAACAAAAATGTGGGTGTTATAAATGTTGTCTCCAAACCTGAGAAACTTGTTGAGATCTCCGTGTTTCATGTACTCAAACACCATAATGAGGGGGTCACTTTCTACACACACGCCGTAAAATTTGACAATGTGCTCATGCTGCAGGTTGGTCAGGAGTTCTGCCTCTCTGTGGAAATCTGCTCGCCCACTTTCACTGGCTTCTTTCAAAGTCTGCAAGTTAAGAGATCACATGACTAGACAGAGTGCTTTACATCATTCATTCATTTCCTTCAGCTTACTCCCTTATTTATCAGAAGTCACCACAGCAGAATGAACCAGCAATTATTCCGGCATTTTTTTCACTTTCAGGGGCAACCCAGAACTGGGAAACAATTGCTTTACAATGTCATAATAATCATTTATTAGTTAACAATCAGTTTGGGCCCTTACCATGTTTTTGTAAATGCAGAGTTGAGAGATGACCTATAAGTTACTGATAACTCTGTTAAACAGTTAAAAAGATTCTGACAAAATTATCTTTGATATTTCTGGTTCAGGTCTTATTTTAGTGATCACCAGAAAGCTGAGAATTTCCTCACCTAAAAGAATTTGTTTCAGCAAGCAGTTATTATGACCTATAGTTATGTTGTAAAGTTAAATGAAAAAAAAACAAAAAAACAATGACAACATTGTTTTTCATGTCATCATGATTGTATTCGATCAGTGTAACTTATCAAAATGCAGTATTGTTTGTGGATTATACAGATGATACCTTATGAACAATTTTTTCAAAATATTTACAAAACTGTTTTCTATTTTTGCATTTAGCAAAGGCTGTGAAACACGATTTACACAGCCTGTTCAATGCATATGAAGAGTTCAGATGCAAAAGCCGCTGTACTATACGTAATATATGTTTGACAAATATTTTTGCTTCAAATCATCTAAATCGCAGCGTCAGCCCATTCAGAAATAAGTTTGTATGCAAAAGCCTCTAAGCACCACTTGCAAAGGCCGCTATGTCCTGAGAATCAGAAGATGCAAATCGAACTGTTTTCAATGTAACGGTGTGCTGATTTTATGAGGAGACTGTATTTATTCTGCTTTCAATAAGATTTTAAAAGATGAATTATGATGAACTAAATGAGCCTGTCCGACTGTCAGTGAATGGCAAATGAAAACCTCAAAACTACGTGCATTATAAGAAAAAGAAAACACTGTACAGTCGGAAGTGTGCCATGTTTTCATAACGTTTTGCCCAGTGACGCTACTTTGAATGAGTCTGACATTAAACAGCAACACCGATTCACGAAAGACGAAGTGAAGATGCCTTTCTTTTATCCCATATGAATGCTATGAGATATAATAGCATTTTCCATTTGCTTTTTCCCTGGCTTTTCAGGGGTTACCACAGCGGAATGAACAACCACTTACTTGACAGATTTATGTATTTTTATTTTAAGTGTTTTATGTTTGGTAAAATAATTTCTAATTGCATCGTTAGTGTTTTTCAGCTAATTACATTGTCTTGTGCCAAAATGTGGATTTAGAGGTTTTTGCAAAAAAGCACTGGATTTAGCAAAAGTAAATCTACCTTGTTAAAAACCAAAGAATTGTCTAAAGTTACAATAATGAAAAAAAAGTTATTTTATTTACTAGCAAATAACTTTATCATTCTCTCTAAAATGAAACTTCTGAACCTAATCATAGGAGCCTGATAGAAAATGCTAATTTACAAGAAAAAAAATCTGATGTTCTCTGGGATCGCACATAATATTTTGGCGTTATTACAGCACAAACATCTACCAATCGAGCTACACTACTCACAGATTTTGATGAAAGTTAATGAAATATTTACACTACCAGTCAAAATTTTGGGGTCAGATTTTTTATTATTAATTTTATTTATTAATTTCATTCATTCATTTTCTTTTTGACTTCTGGGGTCGCCACAGCGGAAAGAACCGCCAACTTATCCAGCACGTTTTTACGCAGCAGATGCCCTTCCAGCCGCAACCCATCTGGGAAACTTCCACACACACTCATACACTACGGACAATTTAGCTTACCCAATTCACCAGTACCGCATGTACTTTGGACAGTGGGGGAAACCGGAGCACCTGGAGGAAACCCACGCGAACGCAGGGAGAACATGCAAACTCCACACAAAAACGCCAACTGAGCCGAGGTTCGAACCAGCGACCCAGCAACCTTCTTGTTGTGAGCACTATTCTGTTCATCAAGGCGGTATTTATTAAATGTAAAACAAATAGTCAAATACTTATTATTAAATATATATTTATTACTTATTGTTTGTAGTTTCAAATGAAAATATTACTCCAATCATTATTGCTCTTATTAATATTACCATTAACAATAATAATAATAATAATAATAATAATATTATAATTATTTCTGAACGATCATGTGACTCTAAAGACTGGAGTAATGAAGCTGGAAATTCTTTGAAAATCTTTAAAATCACTGGCATAATTTATTACATTAAATTATAAAAGACTTTATAATTACTTTAAAGTGCAGTAACATTGCACAATTTTATAATTTGTACTGTATTTTTGATCAAATAAATGCAGCCTTGGTGAGCAGGAAAAGCTTATTTTAAAACATTTAAAAATCCTGCTGACCCCAAACTTTTGACTGATAGTGCGCATGCTTCTTACCCCTAAAAACTGTGTCCAACATTTTCTGTATTCAAACAGGTCTAAGATGGAAATCATGGTGCTTGGCTTGCCCTATAGGTTGTGTAATGTAATGTAATGTAATGTGTATTTATATAGCGCATTTATTGTGTATGGCCATACACCCAAAGCGCATCACAATCATGAGGGGAGTCTCTTTACACCACCACCAGTGTGCAGCATCCACTTGGATAATGCGACGGCAGCCACAGGACATTGGCGCCAGTACGCTCACCACACACCAGCTATTGGTGGAGTGAAGAGACAGCAATAGAGCCAGTTCGGTGAATGGGGATGATTAAGAGGTCATGATGGGTAAGGGCCTATTGAGGGACTTTGGCCAGGACACCGGGGTTACACCCCTACTTTTTACGAGAAGTGCCATGGGATTTTTAATGACCACAAAGAGTCAGGACCTCGGTTTAACATCTCATCCGCAAGACGGCACCCACTGACAGTGTAGTGTCCCCTTCACGTTTTCTGGAGCATCAGGACTCACACAGACCACAGGTTGAGCGCCCCCTGCTGGCCTCACTAACACCACTTCCAACAGCAACCTAGCTTTCCCATATGGTCTCCCATCCAGGTACTGACTAGGCTCAGCCCAGCTTAGCTACAGTGAGTAACCGGTCTTGGGCTGCAGGGTGATACGGCTGTTTCTGTGTAGCATTCTTATGAAGAAATTATCTACTCACAGAACATTATTTATCAATATGTGGTCCTTTTTGGCTTTGGTGAATTTCTCACAACACTAGTTCATTTCTGCACAGCAGTAAATGCATTTCTCAAAACAATTAGTGCAAACTGCAAAACCTAGTTGATAACCTGCAAAAGCGCGTCACTTGATCAAAACGGATTGCTCATTCCTCAAAAGCAAGTAATGATGTCAATGAATGTGTCTCTGTCATCAAGATGAAAAGTCCTGACACCATTGTTTATGAACAAGATAGTCAAATGGCTTTGTCATGTTTTCATTATGACAGTTTACTCTCTACATTATTTTCAATGCAAAAAGAAGTCCGATTTTGGTGACACTTCCTGAAAATGCTCAAGACAGCACTATATACTATTTATACTGCATATATATATATATATATATATATATATATATATATATATATATATATATATATATATATATTCAGCATTTTAGTGAGTGCAAGACACTAAATATGTATGTTTCACATATTTACTGCATTTGCTCTTGGCAATTCTAATTTATTCACAGCAATATGCAAAAGAATAAAACACCCTTATTTACAACAAACATAAACTCCCTTTGGGTAGAGCTGTGTACAATTACAGTCCATATTGGAACTGAAACATACACAGGTCTGTAAATCATTCATCAAATTGTTCATTTTAGAAGACATTTTCAGAGAAAAAGAAAAACCTTAAAAAATGTTAATTTGCTAGACAGACACAAGTAATGAAATGAGGACTATTAGTTTTATTTGAAACGACTATTCAGCATTCACAAGTTTAGTTAATTTTGAATGACATGACATAAGCATGATAATGTTATAAAACAGCAGGAAGTTGAATGAAAGCAATTCATGCATGTCCAAAAGCATTTACAATTTGTTGGAAGGAATGAGAAGCTGCTACTATGATGTGCACAAATGACTAATTATTTTGAGAAATGCATTAACTGTTATGCAAATGTAAATAGTGTTGTGAGAAATGCACCAAAGCCACTGAGAAAAACTGTAAGATATAACATAGTGTAATATAATGCTGTGCAAATGTCCCATACCTTAACAGCCACCAAAATCTTCTCTTGGTCAGGAGACAAGTTGTAGCATTCAGCTAAGAACACTTTCCCGAAAGCCCCCTCTCCCAGCTCCCTCTTCAGTAAAATGTTGTGACGCTTTATATGTTGGACAACTGCAAAATAATGAATAATAAAACACATGAATACTAAAACACTAACAGTGAAAACTCCAATTTCTTCAAAACGTTTGAAAAGGGGTTGGTCAAAAGCTGTAGAATTATCACTTTATTAATAAGAGCATGTTTTTCGTATGTTGCAATTCAGTTACTAGGGTGTTCTGGCTGACATGATTCAAAAAAGATACAGAGGTAAAACATATTTAGATTTGCATGGATTAATAATTCATTATAAAACCACCAATATTCCCTATAAGAGTGGGTAAATTTTGACCTTGTGCTGACTAAACCTTTTTAGCAGTAGTATGGCATGCTTGCCTAAATAAACATCTCTAATCAGGTGTTGGTAGAACACACTGGATTTAAAATAAAGAATGCTTGCAGAAATCTACAGTTCAACAGTGATTAAGTTACACAGCGTCAGCCACCCCTGATATCATCACCATGGTGATAGAAAGGGAGGTTTCTATGACAACTGACCAGTGGCAACCTAGGCTGGAATCTATTTGAGAGAATGAAGTGTGGCTGGTGCGACCCCACACCCCACTGCAACTCACGAGTGTCCGATTTCAGCATGCTGCCAGGGTTGCGGAAGTACTGAGGGTTCTCAATGACTGGAATCTTTGTCATTCCAATAATAACTGCATCAGGACCCATCTCCGAGGATGATGGCGTGTTGTTGCCGTTGGAAACGTGGTGGAGCGGGCTGGCAGAGTCATCATCATTACTAATGACAGACGAGGAGCCTGGTGGAAAGGGCAAAAAAAAAAAAAAAAAAAAAAACACAGACCAGTCAATAATTCAGTACAATACAACAAATCCACAAGATCAATCTATATATATAAATAGGAAATGATGTTCAAATTAGAGAACATTCCTTTGTCTATACTAATAATTTTGAACAAATATTTAAATTAGTATGAAACTGGTGTGGTGTGTTAGACTAAAGTTAAATGCTGGCCATTAATAAACTATTCATTTATGTAATGTAAAATATTTTAAACGCAACGAGATATTAAACTAGAAACCATGGAAAGCACTTTCAATGAAAAATAAATTCTATATCACGAGCCAAACCATTGCTTTAATTTATAAAAAAAATTTTTTAAAAATTTTCTAAAACAAGGGTTAAGTATCTTTTGAACAAAATATGTGTATTATACACTGTTAGACCTTACTGGGCTTTTTTACAGTAGAATACTGGCAACATTTAAGTCACCGTAAGAGACATTTAACAGTAACTGGCAACAGTGTTCCCAGTAAATTACTGTAACCGAACCATTACAGTGAGTAACTGGCAACAGTGTGGCCAGTAAATTACTATAACAAAACAGTAGCTGTGACTATCTGGCAATACAGCTTACAGTAAATCACTGTACTGTACTGTTACTACTCACAGCATAAAACTGCATACACATTAATAGTATATCTTATATACAGTAGTAGTTACTGTACTGTTACTAAAATTAATCAGTATTATGTATGGTTATTTTAAAAAATAGAAAGCATATAAGTTCTTTAAAAATGTATTTTATTGATTTGCCAGAAAACAAATATACAACAGAAAAAGCATCACAAAATTACAGAAATCAATTCAATTCATGGTTATTTCTATAGCATTTTATAATGTAGATTGTGTCAAAGCAGCTTAACATAGAAGATTATAGGAAATTGAAACAGCGTAGTTCAGTTTTCAGAGTTGAAGTTTAGTTTAGTTCAGTTCAGTGTGGTTTAATTTTCACTGCTGAAAATCCAAACACTGAAGAGCAAATCTATCTAAATCACTGGATATTACTATGTTTTCCATTTACAATGTAATCTTAAATAAAGAACACATGTAGTGTATACAGCATATTTTCAAAGCAATAGCCAACATTTAACAATCACATAACCAATAAATAATATAAAATAAAGTCCATCCAAAACAGTTTTTTTTGAGCACTGATCCTCATGTTGTTCCAAACCTGTAGCAATAATAAAAAAAACAAAAAAATTAAATCACCATTATGCACTTTTATTTAATTAAGTTTATGCATTTATCACAACATACCCCTTTTACTTACTTAATCAGAAGTTTTACACTCAAATTTTGTGAGGCTCAGCAAAAATGCATGTACATGAAGATTTACATCAGGAACTTTTCTTTTAACACTTGACTCAGTTTGTGGCTCATTCCACATTGCGAAGCACACTGCCCTATCTGGATTAATTCTCACATAGAATCTGATAAAACATTTAACATTGTTTTACTCATAATCAAGTATGCATACCACATATACAGTATATACAATTAAAGTCAAAATTGTTAGCCCTCCTCTGAAATTGTAATTCTTTTAAAAATACTTATCAAGTGCTGCTTAATGGAGAGAAGATTTTGTAACATTTTTAAACAATAGTTTTGATAATTAAATTGTTTTGTCTTTGCCATGATGATAGTACATATTGTACTAGTTATTTTTCAAAATATTAGTATTCAGCTTAACATGCCAACTTAAGTAACTAGGCAAGTCATTGGACAACAGTGGCTTGTTCTGTAGTCAATAAAAAATTCTTAAGGGGTTATGATTATTGGCCTTACTTTTTTTATACATATTTTAATAAATGAACTGATTTTATTCTAGCCAAATAAGAAAATACAAATGAGAACAAAAACATAGAAAAAAATTGGAATTTGTCCTTGGTCTGTTAAAAATCGCTTGTGAAATGTGCAAAAAAAAAAAAAAAAAAAACTAAATTCACAGAAGGGCTAATAATTTTGCAATCAACCGTATCTCGTCCATATATAATAGTTACCTTTACATAAGCTCTAGTGTGATGCTGGCTGTCTCCTGATGTTATGTTAAAAACATAAAAGGAACCAAAAAACACAGAAAGGGCTGGAGAGAAAATCAGCTGCTCATCAATGCAATGAGTCACTCTGCCCTCAATGCTGACCATCCACTTTGTTGAGTTTGGAAGCATATCTCCTGAAATGTGAAAAGTCACCACAAAACTGTTAAGAAAGTCACTAACTTTACTCACACACAAATACAAACACACACACATTATTTGGATTATATACTAAATTACACAATACAGTGGATGTTATTAACGTCTACACCCTAAAGCTTTACGTTTTTTGCAAATAATATATTTGGTTACAAAATTTTGACTTCTGAAAAAATAATAGGGCGTCGTTAAGTCCGGTAAACAGACCACAAAGTGTCCCTGAGGCAGGCTATGCGGAGAAGAGGGAATTTGCTCTTTACCCGGTGGAGGACCAGGCATCACAACACCAAATAGTGAATTTCAGTGCTAGGCTGCTGGTCTTGTGGCTGGCGGTCGCCAAATTCTTAATAAAAGAGCACTTTTCTCTTTCCCCAAGAATGTGTCAGCCTGAACAGTGCCAGTCTGGGACGCCCTGCCTTTGAGCTCGCAGGATCGATGTACCTTGCCAGCGGCTCTGAGTGTGCTGGAGGACAGTCTCCCTGGTTGAGCCCTCCCACTCCGTGCTGCCCACTTGTGCGAGCTCTGCCAGCCTGGTTATTGCTAGCCAGCCCGTCGCAATGGCTCATTCGCACGATCAGAATTAGCTAGGCAATTCAGTTTGCCATAAGGCCTCCCAAGTTCACAGGTCTATATTTAACCAGGGCCAGTTCAATCTCCGCCCCTGACCAAGACCTGTGCATTTTGAACCACTGTCTGCACAAGCTGCGGCTCAGAATGATCACACAGAGGCGCATCCTCCAGTGCGTCTGTCCTCAGAATTGGTTTGCAGCAATAGGCCTGAAGGATGCATACTTTTATGTTGTCATTCTTCCACGCCACCACTAATTTCTACGGTTTGCTGCATTCGAGGGTCGAGCTTGGCAGTATAAAGTCCTCCCCTTCGGGCTCTCTCTGTCGACGCAAGTTTTCACCAAGCTTGCGGAGGGTGCCCTAGCGCCCCTTCAGCTTGCAGGCATCTGCATACGCAATTATCTTGACGACTGGCTGATTTAAACGCACTCACGGGATCAATTGATTATGCATTAAGACAGGGTGCTCCAGCACCTCGACATGCTGAGGTTTTAGGTCAACCGAGAAAAGAGCAAACTTGTCCCCATGCAGAGAATCTTTTTTCTCGGGTTGGAGCTGGACTCGATCACCATGATGGCATGCCTCTCCTAAGATGGCGGCATGCTGATGCTGACCCGTCTAAGAGAGTTTGACAGGAAAACTGTGGTCTTTCTGAAATTATTTGGCATCCGTAGCTGCTGTCACGCTGCTTGGATTGCTCAATATGAGACCGCTTCAGCACTGGCTTCACGATCTGGTGATCATGGCACGCGGGCATGCACTGAGTGACGGTCACTCTGCTGTGTCGCCACGCACTTAGTCTTTGGTCGAACCCGGCATTTGTACAAGCTGGAGTGTCTCTAGAACAAGTGTCCAAGCATGTCGTCTTCTCAACGGATGCTTCCAGCACGGGCTGGGGGGCCATGTGTTGCTGGCATGCAGCTGCGGGTCTGTGGAAAGGAACCCGGCGGCATTAGCATATCAATTGCCTGGAGCTGTTGGCAGTGTATCTCACTCTGCGCCATTTTTTACCGGTGCTAGAGAGGAAGCACATGCTGATCAGGACAGACAGCACGGCGGCGGTGGTATATATCAACCATATGGAGGGTATCCACTCCCGCCGCATATCTCAGCTCACTCACCGTCTTCTCCTCTGAAGTCAAATGCGGCTGAAATTGCCGTTCCATTCACATCCCTGGAGACTCAAATTCCAAGTCACTGATGGCTGGAGGGCGACATGAATTTATCATTTGGCACTGACAAATGTACGTTTCCTGCATTAGGTTGTCCACATCAGACAGTTTAACAGATCTTGGGCCTTTAGTTTGAAAAATTTCTAATATAATATAAATTTTCTCTTCTCTTAAAGAGATGTGCGGTCTCTTCATCAGACATGGAAGTAGGTTGCCATTTGATGCATCCAGCTTTCATCTGATCTTTTTGACTGTGCAACTGCTCAGTTGTTGTTCTTCTGTGTTTTTTAGGATGACAAATCCTATGTGCTACATTGTGTCTAAAAATAATATCAACTCTGGTTTTCAGCTGTCTTTGAAAAGAACTTTTCTCCATTGTTCTCCTTCTTCTGTAATGTCTCCAAATGTTGTGTTTAGAAAAGATGTTTCTTGCCACTTTCCTACAGTCTGCCAAGTTTGGGTTTGGGCAATATTCTATCATGGCTGCCACAACAATCCTTACAAACTTCCTTCTCGGTACAAGTGGAGTCTTCTCCTTTTTGGATACTGCATGAAGAAGTGCTTCAGACATGCGTTCCTAAGGAATTTGAAATATACTAAGCAAATTAGAATTCACAGGTGTGTACGATGTGGATGGCTGTTCAGATTGTAAGCTGGGTGGGATTAATGTGGTGAGCTCAACTTGATCCAGTTGGCCTCTAGACACTTCGGAAACTACAGAAGAACAAAGTAAAAAGTTTTACATCTCAGTAGACACCGTATATACATATATATTTTATTTATTTATTTAATCTTGTAGATAATTCTACAAAAAAGAAAATGAGTCTTACCTTTTTGTTTGAATTCAATTAAGAATTTTCCACATTGTAGTGGATTTAAGACGTCCTGAAGATCAGACATATCAACTAGTGCAAGGTCCTGTGTGTTCTCAACACCCACCACAAAACATAGGTGATTGATGTCTAATTCAGGGAGGACTCTCTTTATTTCCTGTTGGATCAGTTCTGTGCCAGAAG